GGGCTCGCCCTCTACCCCGTCAACTCCAAGAAACCATCTTATCACCAACAAACCAGATGAACGATGAAACGTCTCAGCAAAAAAAAAAGAAACCGTCCAGATGACCTGACTGAACATTGTTGGATTTGTACCGTACTTGCCGCCGTACATGTCGTATCAGTCCAAATATGTCTAATTAAGTGGAAAAAAACATAAATACAACTCTTCGCCGTATAAGTCACATCTATTATACATTATTATTGACAAGTCGCATTTGTTACACGTCGACGATGACAACCCGAAAATGTGGGCCGGTGTTGTGCTAAAAATTGATTGGCTGCTAAATGGCGGTCGCAGGAAGGTGCATGGGAGGATTTAACAAAAATTTATCAAGATTAACACTTAAAAACAATTATTTGTTTGCTCGAAATTATAGTAAAGGTGTGTCTCAGTTGAACATTTACTTAATAAATGCACTTAAATGGTCAGATCAGCTGCATTTCAAATGACAATTCGAGGAAGCGCACAGAGGTATGACTCGCTGTTCATTTCTTCGAAACTTAACAAGATAAACACCTAAAACAATTATTTGTTTGCTCGAAATTATAGTAAAGGTTGCTTGCACTTTAATAGTCGAATCAGCTGCATTTTGCCTGAGCGGTGCGACAAAATGCAGCTGATTTGACGTTTGCTCCAGGAGTTCCAGAGTGAGACGAAGTTGGCTTGGTATGGCAAGCCAAGTGTCTCATTAAAAGACACTTTTACCTATTAATGACACACTTAATGGCTTGCCATATTAGTTGAGGGCCCTCTAGTGGCTGAAAATGATAGTGTTCAATATTTTCCATGTCGGAATGAATGAAATTGTCAGATTTCAGCCAAAAATTGGGTTAAATATGGAGGAAAAAAACAAATGTGTCGCTTCTCTGTGTAAGTCGCAGGCATGCTAACTTATGCAAAAAACTGCAACTTATACAGCAAAAAATTACGGCACCTGGATTATTGAGAAAGAACTTTTAGTAACTTTAAATTGGTTACTTTTTCTTTATCATTAAATAATACTGTGTTTGCAGTCTTGCTGTAACTAAACACAAAATACACATTTATTTTACAATTGTGTGTTTTGATTCCCTCCTCATCTCCCCAATTAATTTATTCAAGACAAAGGTGTGCAACTGTTAATATATATATATATATATATGAAGTTGTTAAAAAATATATATATGAAGTAGCTTAGTGTGTTTTGTATCAGAATTAGAAAAATTAGAAAGTTATTCGTTTTGTTCTGTTACTTGAAGATTATTATGATTGAACTAATTGTTTGAAAAAAGGGGCAGATATAAGATTTTTTTCTTCTTTCTGCTGCCTTTCATTTTAAATCTCTGTATTTTTTTATATAGTTTATGGAATTTATTTTTATTTTTTTAATGAATAAACGTTATACCATACCAACTGCGGCTATTCGTGAATTCACTGCTGTCAGACCGTCAGCCATATTCTAAACCCAGACTACATTAAATGTGGTTTGAGTTAAAAGAAAACCTGAAAATGGCAGAAAAACATTTATCTTAAGAGAAAAGGTTGCATTCTATAGAAGAATGGTGGCTTGAAGTATAACGGTGAAAAGAAAAGCACACCCTTTGAAAATGACCTATGAACCACAATTTCAACATTTTTCTAATTTGAGACCGTGTCCGCTCAATTTCTGCAGAACTGTCGTTACATTTAATATGATGCCTTCAGGTGACATCTGTCCAGAAATCGTATGAATTTATAAAAAACTGACATTTTACAGGAAATGTCAAATTGGAATTTTATAAATACTACCTGAAGGAAGAACTGAGCATTCCTGGTTAAGCTGGTTGGACAGTCAGCCCATATAGGGCTTGTCTGAACCAAAAGTGGCCAGAATGTAGGGAATAGCCTTCCAGTAAGTGGAAATATTCAGGAAAGACTTAACCTTGGAATCTCAAACTTGTAAGGAGTGACTCTTGTTTGTGCTGTAAATCAGCTGCTCAGAGCCGAGATGCTCAACCGTTTTGTCACGAAAAGCCACAGTTTTTCCCTCCAGCTTCTCCGTGGAACAGTCGACTGGACAAACACACCGATACTCTGAAGGGAGATGCATCTCTGTTGAAAGAATGGGACATCACCTGCAGACCATATGATAAAGTTAAAGAACAGCTATTAACTGTTGTGTATATTTTAATTTAAAATAAGCATTCTGCTTTTACCATGTCACAAGTCAGTGCACTGCTTGGAACTACAAGAACTATGTTTAATGGAGGCCAACAGTGTCACAAAAGAGCAGATTTTTAGCAATGATAACCACTAAATATTAATTCAAGAGTGTTATATTGTGTTTTTTTTCTTCCATTTTTCAATATGCCAACACATCTTACATTATCAGTGGAAAGATATGGACTATATTGCTCCAAGTTTTGGAATTAGAAGTATACAGTGACAAAAAAAAAAATCCCTGAAATAAGTTTAAAAACCCATAATGTGGCATTTGTCTAAACTGTTAATGGCATAAAAAAGATTGAGCACTTTAGTTAGTTAAAAACAAACTTCTGGTTACCACATTTTCCACATCAGTTTCCTTGGCTTTCCTCAGGAATCCTTCGATTTCCTTAAACACCATTGACTGTAAAATCTGACAACTCAAATACTTTTGTTCAGTCTCACGTTACATAAATCTCTTTAAAGCCTAAAACAAAAATCCAAAAGCAGATTAAAAGTTCATAAACATTACAAAATGACAAACTGGATTAAATGAAAACAAAAAAGGCCACTGTTGACTGGAGAACCAGATTGTGTTTATGATAAATTGAACACAAGAACGTGATGAAGTTAAAGCCAGAATCTACTGACTGCAGTAAAAGTTTTGAATCCATGTTAACAAATAGAAAATTTAACTGACTAAATTCAAAAAGGCACATCAGATGTTTATTTTAGGTGTTGACTTCTGTTGAATTGAATAGAGGGAGTGGTGGTGAAGAGGTTAGAGGTGGGCCTGTGATCGGAAGGTCGCCGGTTCGACTCTCGGGACTGACAACGTCAAAATATAGCAGGAAAAGGTGAAGCACCCACACCTGCCCCCACCCATTTGCCCCACTCTGGGCCCTTAACCCCCTTCTGCTCCCAAAGAGGTCTCTTGAAAACGAGTCATGACTTGAGACTACCTGTATAAAGGATATATAAAAGTTGATTTGCATATTTTGTATCTTCCTTCTGATAAAATGTCCAGATATTCACTTTAGCTATAATTAGTTATTTGATCCTTAAAAATATATTATTTTTGACACCATGACTGTGTGCAAACAGGACTTTCAGCCCCACAGATCTGCTGCAGTCTGGCTCCAAAAAGTACAAAACACAGTACAGGCACATGTAAGTGGGGAGGTGTAGTCCAGCTAGTTTTTGAGTGGAACCAATGGTGTTCAACTTGGCCGTTGCATTAATATTTAGTTGATATGTAATATTTTAAAATATCAGAGCACCTTAAGAAAAGTATAAAGCCTTTTATTGTGACAAGTTCTGTTCTGAATGCAGTTTTAAACCCAAATTGTCCCCCATAAGTTATTTATTTAGAGAAATGGTAAGGCTCAAATTCCAGCCATAAATATTTTGCAGGTGTAAAAAAAACTTGTGACCTTGTAGAAAAAAAAATTGTAACCTTGTAAAAGATTTGTATTTGTAAAAACAACTTGTAACCTTGTAAAAAAGATTTGTAACGTTATAAAAAAATGTAACCTTGTAAAAAAGATATATGATGTAAAAGATGTAAAAATGATTTGTAACCTTGTAAAAAAAATTGTATTTGTAAAAACAATTGGTAACCTTGTAAAAGATTTGTAACCTTATAAAAAATGTATTTGTAAAAACAATTTATGACCTTGTAAAAAAAGATTTGTAACCTTGTAAAAAAAATTGTAACCTTGTAAAAAGATTTGTTAGTAAAAAAGATTTGTAACCTTGTACAAATGATTTGTAACCTTGTAAAAAATAGTAACCTTGTAAAAAAGATATATGATGATGTAAAAATGATTTGTAACCTTGTAAAAAATTTGTATTTGTAAAAACAGTTGGTAAC